CCACCCTTGATTCTCTAGATCTCTAAGGCTAGATTACAGATTGAATTCTTTATTGTCATTGTACGTATATACACAGTATACATACAACGAAATTCACATAACACCCAGAGACCAGATTCAACATGAACACACACATGGCAATCCTCAAACACCTCCCCACCTGCCAAAATCCCCCACCTTCTAAAACACAGAAGCATCCACACAACAGAATAATGTCCAACAGCTCACTGATGGTGGTCCTTAAGCATTGTGAAGTGCAATTATAGTTCTGGGATAAAAACTATTCAGAAAAAGTGTGGCCCGAGTTTTAATTGTTCTGTATCTTCTGCCAGAAGGCAACAGTTCATAAAGATTGTAAGCAGGATGGGAAGAATCTCTGAGAATGTTGTGCAACTTCCTTAAACAGCGAGATGTGAAGATGTCATCCAGGGCTGGTAGCTGATACGAGGGACAACATTTTAATTTGGACTTCAACCGCAAAAAAGGAAAGGCAAAATCCGTTGCTTCCCAAGCTGTCCAGTCAATTGACAGTTGTCTACTCAGATGGACTAGCTCTGGTTAGCGGATTCAGGGCTCACTTGCAAAATCCCCTTAAAGTTGGCTAAACAATTAAAAGGCCCGTTTGCCAGCTGATGATTTTTTTTCAAATCTCAGGTCCAGGCCAATCACAGCCTTGATTGTGACATCAGCAGTCCTCCTAACCTCATTGGCTGGAGCTTGGCAATGTCCAGCATCCTTGGTGAGTCTGGACCACAGTGCTGGGAGGCTTTGCTCAAAATCCCTGGAAAGTGACTACTTTGCTCAACAAATGCAGTCCTGGCACCACGAGGGATGGGGTTGGGGAGGAGGGTCTGGATCCTGGCATGGTGGAAAATAGGCTCTGGGCTTGCAAGGAACTCAATAGGCGGGGGAGTCAAAATGTTGGAAATGCTTAATGGAACGAGGCACATACTATCATGTATGGTGGAGCTGTAAAAAAGCACAAGAGTTTTGGTACAGGATTGGGAAGTGGCTGGAAGAAATGATGGGGTTTAAAATAGACCATAGACCAGAATGCTTTTTATTGGGAATTATACCTCCCCCAAAAAAAACATAATAAGGAAGAGTTATACTTGATAATACATGTCATCACTGGGGCAAGAATGGTGTTTCCTCAGAAGTGGAAGGAGAAAGAAATCCCTAGTGAAGAGGAAGTAATAAATAAATAAATAAATGCTACTGTTTAAGCCACACCATCATAGTTTCCGTCTCCTCCTCTTTTATGGCCCTCCCCAATACTTCTCCTTCCCCTTGTTATGCCTGTGTAATGCAACTATTTGCCACTGAATGAGTTTTCTGGAGGAACAAGGGACTCCCTTAAGCAGTGAGATGGCCCAATTCCTACCTGCCATGATAGATAAAAATATATATATTTCAAAGGATGGAAGAAACTGACGCTAACTAGGTGAGCATCCAGTGAAGAGTGGTCAGTAAAGCTTGAATCATTTCAAAGTGCTTGTTCCTGTCTCCATGGTAACCTGGGATGTCCTGAGATGCAAAGAGAATTTTCAGTGTAGAACCCGATGATGAAAAGTGATGTCACTGCAGAAGGCAAGGAGCGCATCCGTGATGGCTCTCAAGAAAACATCCCAGCCTAATCCTGACCACTCGCTTTCTCTTGTGCCCAATCTCCGCATTCACATAAACAGGGAAAAGCTATCATTTGGGTAGTAGATGACTTTTTCATTCCTTCATCTTTTCTGAATGGTTGGTAATCATCACTCTTTACCAACTGTGCAAGAAGACGGAGTTTCTAACCATATAGTTGTCAATGTTCTTAAATTATCTACCTACCTATCTGTCTGTCTGTCTACCTCCCTCCATACCTAACTGCTGCCCATTTCACTATCCAAAGTAACTCTGGGTGGCATTCCTGAACTGCTATAAAGTAAAAGGTCTATATCAGGGAAGGGATAAATGAATTGAAAAGTCCCAATTTCATGTCTCAGGTTCACAATATACAGTGTTTGGGAGAGGCCTAGGTGGTTGAGTCCTCAGTCCTGATACACATTGATTTTTGCCTTACATTTCAGGACTATCACAAAGAAAACAAGCAAAGTGCTTGGTTTTCTTGGTCCATTCCTATGCAGATCTTTGGATGTTGGCAATATCCAAAGCCTACTACATGGTCTTCCATCCAATTGTGTCAAAGATTGATAAAAGGTACACACTGCACATTGCATTCTTGTGAAATATCAGATTTGTTTTCAGATAATCTTGGTCCAAGTCAGACAATTCTGCATGATGTCCAGTTGACACACATACACACACAATATGCACGCATGTATGTAAATGAGCATACCTTGCAAAGTTACCAGGCTCCAGTCGGTAGCCATTAAAATATTCAGAAAGAATGTTTTTATGATTAGAGTTCTATTTGTCCGATGTGTTTGACTGCTGGGCTGCAACTTGCAGCCTTCTGCCCACATTAATCTTGATGGTGCTTAAACATTTCTTAAATTAAGACAATAAACTGTTCATTCCTAATCCCAACAGACATCCAGCAAGGTACCATGGCAAATGGTACCAAAAATGGCTGGGATTAAAAAAAAAGGAACCAGGATGGTTGCAATAAAGCAGGAAGGTTGTAAAAAATAAGGAAAAAAATCATGGGAATGATTGATCCACTATTGGGAGAAAATGGCAAGGACCTGACAGGCAGCAGGGAGAAAGCAGAACTGCTATTCATTCTTTGTCTTCATGGAAAAGGGAAAAAAATAGCCCAATCTACCAAAAGCAACACCATAAAAGACAGATTAGGAATATAAATCAAAATTGGCAAGACAATTGTAAAAGAATGCCTATCCACTAGACAAATTTAAATCACAGGACCAGATGGACTACATCTGCACTTGAGTAGTCTAACAGAAGGACTAGGGGTGACATGATAGCAGTCTTCCAGTACTTGAGGAAATAGACTAGACTAGACTAGACTTCTCTATTAATCAAGTGTGATTGGACACATATTACTTATTACACAATATTACAAAGAGGGGATCAACCTATTCTCCAAAACACCTTAGGGCAGTACAAGAACTAACAGATGGAAACTTATGGAAGAGAGATCCAACCTAGAATTAAGGAGAAAGTTTCTGTCAGTGGGAACAATGAACCAGTGGAATAGCTTGCCTCCAAAAGTTGTGGGTGCTTCATCCCTGGAGGTTTTTAAGAGATTGGACAGGCATTTGTCCAGAATGGTATGGGGTCTCCTGCTTAAGCAGGAGGATTGGACTACAACAAGGGTCTCCAAACTTGGCCTGGCTGGGGAATTCTGGGAGTTGAAGTCCACCAGGCTTAAAGTGGCCAAGGTTGGAGACTCCTGCTCTAAACCAGTGTCCCTCAACTTTGGCTACTTGGAAGATATGTGGACTTCAACTCCCAGAATCCCCCAGCCAAGGTTGAGGAAAGGGGAAAGCTGGCTGGGGAATTCTGGGAGTTGAAGTCCCCCAGGCTTAAAGCTGCTAAGGTTGGAGACCCCTGGACTAGACTAGAAGACCTTCAAGGTCCCTTCCAAATCTGTTCCTCTTGTTGCAGCTCCGCCAAAGGTCATCCCAAAGAAAGACCAGCGATGTCTCCGCATGCTGGATGCATCTGAAACGTGGAAGGGGTATTAGCGATCGATTTCCTCCAGGACGAAGATGGAACGAACCTTGCCAGTGGAGTTGGCTTTCGGGGCAGCCACTGCAGCTCTTCGTCGAGGTCTCCCTGGACGGGAGTGACGGAGGGCCGGGGGCGGGGGGACCGCTGCTGCCGACGGGCGAAGCTCTGGGAAGGGGGAGGAGGCAGCCAAGAGGCGCCTCGCCTCGCCTCGGGGCGCCGCCCGCCGTCTCCGCACAAAGCCTCGCTCGCAGCCGCGGGGACCGTGGGGGAAACCAATGAGGCTTCCGAGGCGCCGCCACCCTCGCGGGCGGCTCTCCAGCCTCAGCCGCGGTCGCCCCTCCTCTCTATCGCGGGACGTCCCCGCCGCGCCTCGCGACCGGCCCCGCGCGGCTAAACGCTCCCGAAGAAGCCGGCCGGCGCCCCGCGGGGCTCCTCCGCTCGCTGCCCCAAGAGCGCGGCGCTTCCCGCCCTTCCGGAGCTGTCCTTTCAGCACCACGGCCCGCCAGCCCGCCGGGAAGGCCCGGGGGAGGAGGCGCAGTCGGGGGAACCGCCCGCCAGCCGCCCCCGACGCCGGCCGCCCGGCCTTTCAGGGGCCGATGGCAGCGGCGGCGGCGGCGGCGGCTTCGTGGGCGCTGTGGCGGCGTCAGGGGCGCCGAGCGAAGGAAGTGTTCCCCGGGTGCGGAGCGGAGCGCGCATGCGCCCCCCCTCCGGCCGCCCCCTCCTTTCCGACCCGATCGATTTCTCAAGGTGTTCCCTGCCCGGCGGAAGATGGCGACGGGCTAAGGCGAGCGGCGGGCGCGGGAGGGGGAGATGGACAGGCCTGGCCGCCGCGCCCGGGCGCTCCGGAGTGGCCTGAAGCGCAAGAGGAAAGGCGAGTGAGGGCGGGAGGCAGGGCCGAGGCAGGCGGGGCGGAGGGACGGAAGATGAAGCGGGCCAAGCGGTGAGGCCCGGAGCGCCGGACCAGCAGCCGGGACGCCCGGGAGGAGGAGGAGGAGGAGGAGGGGAGGGAGGGAGATGCCCGGACGGCGCGGCGCGGCCTCCTCCCGCCCGGGCCGGCCATGCTGAGAAGCGCCGCGGCGGCGCAGCACCATGCGCCGGGCCCCGGCAGCCCTTAGCGGCCTCGCGGGGGGAGGCTGGGGGCGTCCGCGCGGGGCTCAGCGGCGGTGGAGGAGGAGGAGGAGCGGGCGGGCTCTGGTCGCGGGCCGCAGGGTGAGCCGCCATGGGGCCGCCCCTCCCCTTCCCACCGGGCCCGGGCGGCGGCGGCGGCAGGTGACATTCTGCCCGCGGAGGGGGCGGCCGGAGGAGCGGCCGAGCCCGGGAGCCCCCCCGCCGCCGCCGCCGCCGCGCCGCCCCCCAAAAATATGACCAGCGGCGCTTGGATGCAGCCACGGGAACACGAGGCCGCCGCCGCCGCCGCCGCCCTAGCCGCCCGCCCGGGCCCGCCCGAGAAGCCGTGCGCCGACTCGGAGCGGGCGCAGAAATGGCGCTTGTCGCTGGGCTCGCTGCTCTTCTTCGCCGTCCTCCTCTCCGACCGCCTGTGGCTCTGCGGCGCCGCCGCCGGGACGCGGCTCCGAGCTGAGGCCAGAAGCCCGGCCATGTCGGCGGCCGGGCCCGCCCTGGTCGGAGGGCCGCGCAACCGGAGCGCCGAGGGCCCGCCGGCCCCCCCGCCCTGCTCGCCCGCCGCCCCGGACCGTCGCCCGGACCTGAGCTCGGCCTGCTCGCCGCGGCGCCTCTTCCAGCAGGGCTCTCTGGCCGCCTTCGCCGCCGTGCCTCTCCGGCTGCCCGCGGCCGCCGCCCTCGCCGCCGCCGCCGCCGCCTCCTCCTCTCCCCAGCTGGACTTCCTGGAGGGCCACTTTCGGACCTTCCGCCTCCCCTTTTGTGACGCTTACACGGCCTGGGACTTGCTGCTCGGCATGGCCGGCCCGGAGAGCCTGGACTGCACCTTGGCCAACCTGCTGATGGATTTCCTGTCCGCTGCGGCGGGAGCCCAGCGCGGGGAGGCCTGCAGCAGCTGCTTGGAGGCGTATCAAAGGCTGGACCAACACGCTCAGGAAAAATACGAGGAGTTCGAGCTTGTGCTGGAGAAATACCTGCAGGCCGAGGATTATTCTGTGCGCTCCTGCATCAGAGACTGCAAGGTAGGGAGGCGGTGGAGCGGGCGGGAGGGGGGCACCCCGAAACGTTTCCCCTGCAGCCAAAACCCCCTTGGCCCTGGCCCTGGCTTTGGGGGCAACAGCTGCTCCGCCTGTTGGGATTCGTCCCACTGGCCGCTGCTGTAGCCTCCTCCCTCCCTTCTCTCTTGACCACCAGAGTGGGCCTTCTCTCTTGCTGCTGATAAGCCGGATTTGGTCTGGACAGATGGGTTGAGATGGGAGGAATGCCAGCCACGGAGAGAGAGCCAGGCCGTTGGCTTCTTGCAGGTTGGCTGCTTTCAAAGGCTTTTCGGGCAGCAGCCCTGGTCAGAATTTCTTGGGAAGGATGTAGATTGTCCTCAGTGATTTGCTGTACAGCAGGGTTGCTCAAGGGCTGGGAATCTCATCTTCCTTGGTAGCCAAATAGCCTCGTGATTAAGTAGCCGCTCTGAACTGACTGCCACTCAGGACAACTCACCTTGGCTTTCCTATGTAAGGCTCATTCTTTTGATCTAGAACCAAGGAACCTTTTTTTGGAAAGCTGCTCTCCCATATGTTACTTTTTATTAAGAAGGCAGTGGATCTGCCTTGTTGACAACACTCTCTATTTCATTGTAGTGTAATCTCAACTTTTGACCGGTGTTGCTAGTTGCTTTGAGCTGCCTCGCTGAACGGGGAACATTTAGCTATTATGTATTCCTGTAGACGTCCCAAAGTGTTCTCTTTAACTGTGCATCAGTTTATTATACTTTCCAAACTTCGCTCACATCAAAGCATTTTAGAAATTTTACTTTGGGATGTTTGATCTGTTTGATCTTTGATAACTGCTCTCCAGGGCATCTAACACATCCCAAAGACTCTTCCAAAAGTTGCTCCTACTGATAGACATGATTTGGCGAAATGGATGTGGCTGGGCTTGGGTCAATGGAACCTCAGGCCCAGTTCCATGGGTAGCATTTCCAGGTATAACTTGCATAGAACTCAGCGGAAGGTACATGCGGGGCCAGGGCTCTGGCTTGGGTACAGACTCCCTGACCTGCCCCCCCCCCCAGCCACTTCTGGAAATAAGATATCCCAATTAAGAATTGAATCCCAGAGAATTAATAGCTCTTGCAGGGATAGAGAAGAGTAAGAAGAGCTGAAAATGTGACCTGAAGCATTTCTGGGTTGTAAAGAAAATTTATCTCCAAACTGACTGCATTTTGTGAATCTTTTAAATGTTGCAAGAAAGCCAAGAACAAATGCAACACTCTATTTATTAGGTACTGTAAAATTAATCCACATGTGGATTTTGTTTACATACAAAATAATTTTCAGTTTGCATGCAATGTAAGTTTCAGTATTCTTCATGTAAGAATTAGTTTGACAGTTACTTCCTCTCTGAAAAGGCTTTAATGTTTCATAACATTAAATGCACCATTTTTGGAAAGTGGAACGTGCCTTCAAGAAACAAGTACAGGGGACACTGATTTCCATACGAACTTGGAAATGTAGGGAGGCTTGGTGTTTCCATTAACTAGTGTAGTTCTGTCCAAAATTGTTCCTCATACAGAGTTAACGTTAAGAAAAAATAATCACATTGGCATAGGATGTTTTTAATTTGGATCTGGAACATTAAATGTCCCTTCTCTGTGTCCTCTGATCCCACAATAAATTATTCCACCTCATTATAGCATTATATTAAAAGTACAAGTGTATATCATGCATGTTGAATATAACATATAGTTTAGGCTTTTAATATTATGTGGAGGGGAGAAGATAAGATTTCTGGTGATTCTATTGATACTTGCATTTCAGCTTTGACTGTGGGACCTTCATGGGGAGAAGGAATGGAGGGTCCCTGAGATTTTCTGCATTGTCACAATATGGAAAAGAAACCATAATTGGAATGGAGAAGGTTTAGTTCCATTGACAATGCAAGATTTATACACTTGGATGAGAGGGGAACTTTTGGAGGAGGCTGGTATGTAGGTGTGTGGTTTGTTTCCTTTGGAGATTGGTGTAATGATCCAGTGTGTCTCGATGTGTCAAGTGCTACGTCATTTTATTTTGTCAGGTATTCTGTTAACTTAAAAACAGTAAGGGTTGGCTTCCAATGACAAGCTCATGATCCCAGTTTACTCTGGGATCATCATATTTCACTCCTATAGATGTTCTCAGAAAAGAGTCAATGATGAAAAGTGTCCAGAAGAAGACACAAACAAATTGGAGCTGGAGTGAGAGAGGATTTAATTTAAAAGCGTAACTTTTCCCAAGTCGTCTACTTTTTTTTTCACTGACTTCTTAAATAAAGCAGTCCTCAATCCAGGAAAAAAATTGTATCGCTGGTATTAGAGTGTTGCATATTGTATTATGAGTATATTTTTAGCAACATATTCAAAAACTTTGAATGACTTTTTTCTATGTTTTCAGGTATAGTGCATACATACATGGTACATAGAACATGCCATGCCCCTGGTGGAGACTGACTCTGAGGGAGAGGAGGAACAGCCAACAGGGAGTGGGAGTGTGGCTCCGGAGGTTGTGGAGGAGGCTGGGGAGGGGCAGAGGAGGACCCAGGCCCATCCCCTCTCCATCCTAGGGCACACAGGGAGGAGAGGATAAGGGAGGGACGTGGTCTACAAAGGAGGAGAGGGCCTTGATCCTTTTCATGGGTTGCAGCTGTGACAACTGAATAAGAGGACGGACATGCGTATGGGTGAACGCTGGAAACAAAGCGTGGAAATATCTCTAGGTTATGATTCCTCTCTGAGTTTGGCGTCCTTGCCAGTGTGTGTTCTGATATCTGTGGACGTCCTCCAGCCCTTATCTTGCCTGCTTTGTGTTGTTTTTCCCCTCCTTCTTGTAACTGCTTGTGTGGGAGTTTTTTGTCTTCAGTCAAGGATATTTGGAGCTTGGAAGCAAAGTGAAGGAATAAAAGGGGCTTTACCGGGTTTCTGTGACTGTGTTTATTTTGTATCCACACCCTGAATCATCACAGAACATTACAGTTGGAAAGGTCCTTGGAGGTCTTCTAGCCCAACCCCTTGCTTAAGCAGGAGACCCTATACCATTTCAGATAAGTGATTATCCACTCCAGTCTCTTTTTGAAAGCCTCCAGTGATGGAGCACCCACAGCTTCTGAAGGCAACTTCTGTTCCACTGATTGGTTATTCTCACTGTCAGAAAATTCCTCCTTAGTTTTAGGTTGCTTCTCTCCTTGATTAGTTTGCACCTATGGTTTTTCTTCCTTGCCTTCAGCTACTTTGGAAAATAGGTTGACCCCGTTTTCTTTGGGGCAGCCCCTCAAATATTGGAAAACTTCTATCACATCTCCCCTAGTCCTTCTCTTCACTAGACTAGCCAGGCCCAGTTCCTGCAAATGTTCTTCGTATGTTTTAGCCTCCAGTCCCCTAATCATCTCTGTCGCTCTTTTCCGCACTCTTTCCAGAGTCTCAACATCTTGCCTCAACATTGTGGTGACCAGAACTGAATGCCATGTTCCTTTTAACACACACACACACACACACACACACACACACGAATCCCTCTGATTTTTTTTTAGAGGATTGTAGAGGATTTAGAGGTATTACGCTCCTAAGCTCTCTTGCTGTGCAGTACAGGTCAGATAGCAGCTTGAGGAAGTAGAAACCTAATACAATGGTAAATATTGTAAATGACCATTTCTTCCTCTGGAAAGTGGGAAATTGTCTATTCTGAATCAATGCATTCCACCAAAGAATGGTCCCAGTTCTTTCACTGTCAAAGAGGCCTAATCTATATGTGCTGGTATACCAGCTGTACCCACTCCTATACAGATACTCCTCGACTTACAGCCACAATTAAGGCCAACATTTCTGTTGTTAAGTGAGACATTAGTTAGGCGAGTTTTGCCCCATTTTATGACCTTTCTTGCCAGAGTTGTTAAGTGGATCTCTGCAGGTGATAAGTTGGTAACTTGGATGTTAAGTGAATCTGGCTTCTCCACTGACTGCTTGTCAGAAGGTCACAAAAGAGGTTCACATGATCCCCCGGGACACTGCAACCGTCATTAATACGAGTCAGTTGCCAAGCATCTAAATATAAAACATGTAACCATAGGGATGCTGCAAAGGTAACTTGGTAACTATAAAAAATGGTCATAGGTCACATTTTTCAGTGCCATTGGAACTTTGAACGGTCCTACTAAAGTCAAGGACTATGTATACAGAAATGAGTCGAACACGATCTTTTCATGAATTGCAAAAATTACTCAATTTGAGCTGCCTTTTGTACTAGCCCAAAAGCTACACAGCTGGTTGCTAAAGGCAGTACACCTTGAATTCATCCCCTGTGCTGTGTTGGCTGCTCTTTACTTTAAGAGCCAATGCCAAAATGCACGTGGCCTGAGGCAGCGTCACGGACTCAGGAACCTATTATATTTGGGGAGAGCAGAGGTCTCTTCACTGCTGATCTTGCTTTTCTTACAACAGGCTTGTATAAAACCTGGCTGAGTTTTGAGCAACTGCTAATGTGATATTTTGGGATTTAGAGTGAGCTGTGAACAGAACACCTTTGCCACTCGAGCTATGTTTCAGATTAACAGAGTTGGAAGGGACCTTGTAGGTCATTTAGTCCAACCCCCCCCCCCCCCAAGCAGGAGACCCTACACCATTTCTGACAAATGGCAGTCCAATCTCTTCTTGAAAGTCTCAGTGATGGCGCTCCCACAACTTCCGAGGGCAACTTCTGTTCCATTGGTGGATTGTTCTCACCGTCAGAAAGTTTCTCCTTATTTTCAGGTTGAATCTCTCTTTGTGGTAATGCTTCCAGTGAGGTAACACAATTTCAGGGCAAGTTGTGAACTTGTCTTCTCTCAAAAATGGAGAGATTTTTTAGAACTACGCCGCCTCCGGTCCGATCTAAGTATAGTATATAAAATTATACATTGCAATGTCCTACCTGCAAATCATTGCAATGTCCTACCTACTTCAGCTCCAACCATAACAATACAAGAGCAAACAATAGATAGAAACTCAAGGTAAATC